GAATTAATATAATAATGTTGGCTTGGCACCTAATTCCACTTTTCTCATCATGATAATCTCTTTCTATTTTAGAGTTTACATCAACGTCGGCGTTACCACATTTCTCATATTCCACTATCAAAAAATCATTTATTTATTTACTTAGGACGTAATGTTTGGTGGTACCGAAACGGTAGCATCAGCCATCGAGTGGGCCATGGCGGAGCTAATGAGAAGCCCAACGGACCTTAAGAGGGTCCAGCAAGAGCTGGCTGACGTAGTGGGCCTGGCCCGCAAAGTCGAGGAGCCCGACTTCGAGAAGCTGATCTATCTCCGCTGCTGCCTGAAGGAGGTCCTCCGCCTCCACCCGCCGATCCCCATCCTCCTCCACGAGACGGCGGAGGACGCCACCGTCTCCGGCTACCACATCCCAGCGAGATCAAGGGTCATGATCAACGCGTGGGCCATCGGCCGAGACGCCGGCGCGTGGGAGGACGCGGACGAGTTCCGGCCGTCGCGGTTCCTGGCGGAGGGCGTGCCGGACTTCAAGGGCGGGAACTTCGAGTTCATACCTTTCGGGTCGGGTCGGAGGTCGTGCCCCGGGATGCAGCTTGGGCTGTACGCGCTGGAGATGGCGGTGGCCCACCTTCTCCACTCCTTCACGTGGGAGCTTCCCGACGGGATGAAGCCCGCCGATCTCGATATGAGCGACGTATTCGGCCTGACGGCGCCGAGGGCCGAGCGATTGGTGGCGGTGCCCACCACGCGCCTTCTATGCACGCTGTAATGGGGTGGACGCGCGTCATGGGTATAAATGTGGTGGAGATTATTCAAATATTAATTGATTCAAGGGGTTTTTTTTTTTCTTTTTTTTATGGTTNGTTTGGCAATTACATGTTTGTTTGGGAAAGTGTGTCAAAAGCGAAGACAAGAAATGAGTTGGCATAAATTTGTAAGGCAATTTGCTTGAAATAAATCGACCGAGTCTAGGGAAATAGTTGTGAAGGAAATTGTTATCGTTTATGTAATATTATGGCATATTATTATTATAATGTGCATATATTATAAATATTATGTATATAAAACTTTGTGAACCTGCAATTATCTCTGAGTTTGTATTCTGTGTTAATAATCTCTTCTTGCAATAAACATGTTATGCTAGGGAAAAAATGCAGTCCATTAATTGTTATTTTTTATTTTTGTCTACTATTTTTTGACTTTACAAATGCAAAATTTGAAATAATCGAGTGGTTTTGTAGATATATCATAAACACAAAACAAGCAATTAACATTCATTAAATTTGGACAAGGGATTGATCCTAAATTAGCTGTGAAAGTGATGGTAGCGAATTCTCACTACCCTGTAACTTATAGATTCCCGATTATCCAAAAATATGATCTATTATCAAAAAATATCATTTGAAATCTTAAATAGTATCAATCAATCATCTCACACATTACATCAACTTTAATTTACTATTTATTCACTACCGTAATTTTAACTACTTCATCACTCTCAATCACTTTCTTATATTTTTACATCAAATTAACTTTATTATGTTTTACATATTATTTTAATAAAAACTTAAAATTTCACTAAAAGTGTTCATGTGTTCAAGTCGATCAACATGTTGAGTGTTTGTTCGAATTTATAAAAAGTAACTTTCTGTGTCAATAAAGAGCCACTGTTTTTTCCAGACTGAACGTAGATACTTTTCAGTATAGTGTGTTTTTAATTAGTTACATATATTCTGATTTTTTAATGTTATGCGTGATAGATAACTAAGAGCTTGCTGCCTTGCTTGTTTACTTTATATTGCTTTTGGAT